GAGAAAAGCCCAAAATGTGGGTTCGGAAGATCGGAGTAAAAACTCAGGCAGACGGTGAAGCGCTCCATCTCTCGGTTCTGGCTGGGTTTCAGGAGGACATAGGAGCCGGTGGAACGTTTCGGGAAGAGGAAAACCTGGTCCTGCAGATCTGAAGGGGAAGAAGGGCGAGAAGAGAGAGGTCAGCAGGTGGAGAGAGGCGACGCGCACACAAGCCCACCCATGCGTGATCCGGGGATGGGAGATCTGAAGCGGGAAGCCCGTAACAGTTTGGAAGCAGCCGCAGGGGTGGGATTCAAATTTTTAACAACCGGTTCTGTGGGCGTGGCTTAGGTGGTGGGCGTGGCTTAGGTGGTCATGTGACTGGGTGGGCGTGGCTTGGTGGTCATGTTATTCGCTGGGCGTGGCTAACTCAACATCACTCACATCGAGGCACACATCTCCTCGCCCGGCCTCTCATGTCTGTGGGGATGCTGCAACAGTCGTAAGTGTGAAAAATGGTCATAAGTCACTTTTTTCAGTGCCGTTGTAACTTTGAATGGTCACTCCACACAAGCAAAGTACCAGCAAAGGAGGGGGGGAAAAACTCCAGAGAAGTTCCTGAGACAGGAAGTTTAGTCCTGCCAAGAATGTAATAAGGGTTAACAGAGAGGCAGTTTCTGTAAGCAACACCAGAATGTTTCCTTCCTGCCTTCCTTACAGGATTAGCCCAGTCATTTCTTCTAACAACCGGTTCTAATGTTAACAACCGGTTCTAGCAAATAGGTGCAAACTGGTAGAATCCCACTCCTGGAATTAGGGCTGTTATTCTGTCATTCTGGTGGGAGGGTCTCCTGTTTGGACTAGATCAAGGGTAGCCAACCGGTGGTCTGCGGACCACTGGTGGTTCGTGAGAAGATTTTGGTGATCTGCAGCACGCCCATGTCTGTAACCGGGTGATACCGGTAGCAGATGGACTGACGCACGTGGAGAGGGAGGATAGTGCACGAGAGATCGCGGCATTGGAGCCCTACCTGGGTGTTCCCTGGCCTGCGAGGGGGGGTGAGGGGGGGAAAGGAACCTGATGAGAATCTGATGTCCGGAGGCCAACGAGCCATGTGCTGAAGACCAGATGGCTGGCGAGGAGGTGGTGCAATCCTGCAGTCTCCCTAGCAAACCCGTGTTGTGGCTGCCTGTCTCCTGCCTCCGCGTATCAAGGAGGCCGAGCATCAAGGAGGAAGCGGCTGCAAGCAATGCCCTCAGGTGAAGATGTTGTGTGGGGGAGGCCCGACCCCTCCCCTCAGGAGCCTCAAAGCACTCGCCGCCCCTCCGGCACCCGCCAAGCCTCCTCCCACCGTCCTTCTCTTCCTCCTCGCCGGAAGCACTCACACACCCAGTGGGAAGGCTTGGTGGGTCAGGCAGTGCATTCTAGGCATTGACCATTCCGTGGCTGAATTTTGGACCTAGACAACTTAGATCTACGCCGCCTGTGGTGTGTCCTAAGCTTAGTACGCAAAGTTGTCTGCTACAATGTCCTACCTGTCAATGTCTACTTCACCTTCCACCGCAATAACGCATGGGCAAACAATAGATACAAACTCAAGGTAAACCGCTCCAAACTCGATTGCGGAAAACACGACTTCAGCAACAAAGCGGTCCATGCCTGGAACTCACTACCTGTGACGACCCGGTGTGTAACACAAACTTAACAAAATCCAAAATGTAAATAAATGTCCTTTAATGCCTCCAACTTGGCCCCACTGTTCAATAATCCTCAGCTGGAGATAAAACGTACTCAAAAATAGCCTTCAAAGGAAAGCAATACAGTCCAAACTTAATGAGCAGATGGAAATAAAAAACCAAAACAAACTACAGTGAAGGAATTTCCACAACGGACCCTGATAAGTATTTACCAAATTCAAGGAGATAACAAGGCACAGTCTGTTGGAAGGACGCCAACCAAGATAACTTCAGCTCAAAATAAAACACGCTTTGCTTCTGGCAACGCTGTGTTTTAACCGTCTCTCTTATATACTATTCTCCCCAGCTGCAACCAATGAGGGGGATCATGGCCGCTTCCTCTCTCATAAGCCAAGTTGTTTCCTTCTCTGTTCCTCCCTGCATGTCCTAGGATGAAGAGGGGACGGGCCTGGTTCTTCCTCTGACTGCCCAGCCGGCCTCTGCCCTTCCCCAGCCTCCTCCACAACCTCCGGAGCCACACCTCCACTCCCTGTCAGCTGTTCCTCCTCTCCCTCGGAGTCTGACTCTAACAACGGCATGACACTACCTGACTCTGTTGTTACATCCTCAACCCCCCCCCAAACTTTAACCTTAAACTGTCCACTGTGGACCTCACCCCATTCCTAAGAGGTCTGTAAGGGGGCGTGCTTAAGCGCACCAGCGTGCCTACCGTCCCTGTCCTACGGTTCCCATTTATTCGTACTCATTTATCATGTATATACTCATACCTGTTTATACTTATATGTTTATACTTATATGTTCATACTTTTACTTGTTTTCTCATACATGCTTGACAAACAAACAAAAAAATAAAATAAATAAACCTGGAATGAATGAGGGATTTCCTAACAGTGACAAGAATTAACCTGCGGAACGGCTTGCCACTGGAAATTTTGGGTGCTTCATCACTAGAGGTCTTTCAGAAGAGACTGGACAGTCACTTGTCTGAGATGGTTCAAAGGAGCAGGGGGTTGGACTAGAACAGGGGGTCACCAACCTTTTGGACCTCAGGGACCACCAAACTCATAATTTTAAATCCCAGGGACCACTAACTGGTTCTGTGGGCATGGCCTAATTTGTGGGTGTGGCTTGGTGGTCATGTGACTGGCTGGGTATTGCTTGTATGTAAATATTATAAATATTTATATAAATATTGATTTATTTATTTTTTAAAAAGACCAACTTTTACCCAATCAGGCAAAGCAGGCAGGTAGATTGAGTTGCTCACGGAATCATTCAGTGATCTATCTATCTGCCATCAGCTAGCTCAGTCTGTCCCATAAAATTTACTTGCCGTGAGTCTGCACTGAATAACAGAACCTTCAGTCCTAAGGGAGGTTCGGCTGTGCTTAAAAGCAGAGCCGAAGATCTAAAGACTAGCTAGAAAGCAGGAAATCCAACCGCTTCCTCCTTCCTAGCTAATCTAAATCTCCTGGCACAGCAGAACAGATGATGGTCGGAAAAAGGAAAAATAGCAATTTTTTGCAGGCAAGTTTACCAGGTAAGGAGTGAGTGGGCGGGGAGGCTTCCCGTGGGCCATGTGGGCAGCGCAGCCTTGTGTTCCTGCGCAGCCTGGATTAATTGCTTTGGGGGGGGTGCTCTGGGGGTGAGATTTCTCTGCGGCCCACCAAAATTTTCTCACGGCCCACCGGTTGGAGACTGCTGGACTAAGTGACCTCCAAGGTCCCTTCCAACTCTATTCCGATTGATGGATTGATTGTTAATAGATTGAACCCTGAATCTTGGTCCCTGCCCGAGACGAGCTGAGTGGGAGCTTCCTTCCATGGTGGTTATAAGACATATAATCCTTTTAAATTGTTTTTTTTTGGGGGGGGGGGCTACAGCAAGTGCGGCAGAGCCTCTTCCAGTGGGGCTTCGACTGACTTATGAGTTTGGTGAGTTTTTGCCTCCATTTTACCATTTTTCTTGCCGTGCTTGTTTAAGAGAATCTCTGCAGTCGTTAAGTTAATCACAGCGTCATTAAGCGAATCAGGCTCCCCTTGTCAGAAGGGTCGCAAAAGGGGATCACGTTATCCCCTGGCACACTGCAACTGTCATAAATATGAGTCAGTTGGCAAGCATCCGAATTTTGACCAGATGACCATGGGGATGCTACAACGGTCGTAAGGGTGAAAAAAATGGTCCTTTTTTTTTCCAGGGCTGTTGTTACTTCGAACGGTCGCTAAGCAAGTTGTTCCTAAGTTGAGAACTACCTGTAATATTTCTCTGCCCACGTTCCCAAACTGGCTCCCGGCATCCTGGCTCCCTTGCCAGGAAAATCCGTGCCGCCAAGCCTTACCCTTCCCTTTTTCTCCACTGCAAAGTTGGAAAAGGGTCGCCTGGTCAGCTCAACGACCACCCCTAACCCTGCCAAAATTCCCACTACAAATCCCATCACTTATTTAATGCCTCACTTACTTTTCCGCGGCGCAGCTTGTGTGAAGCAGGCGAGAAGGAACAGCAAAAATATCTCCATTTTCTTCTCAGGTAAGGAAGAGCCAGCCAGAGGAATCTGTGTGTGCGTGTGTGTGTTTGTGTGCTTGTGTGTGTATATCCTGGTGTGCAACAAGGGAAAATCCCAATCCTCAGTCTTCCTTGTTCTGGAAATAAACAGACCCAAAGTCCTGCGGTTAATACTTTTCATGCTGGGTTAATAAGTAAGCGATGTGCCACAGGTTGGGAAATTAAACCCCTGCTTTTTTGCTTTTTCTTTTTTTAACCAAGCCCAGGATTAGAGGCTTGGAGGTCTTTCAAGGGCTGGGTGGGAAAACTGCAAGCAAACCAGGTAGGCCAGAATCAATATTGGCTTCCCGTCTTTTGAAGTCAATTATTTTTCTGAGCAGGGAGGGAATTAAGTAAGAGGGGATTTCTGCCAACTGCGTTGGGTAACTTGAGTTTCAACATAAAGGATCCATAAGGGAGTTGAAACGTGCAGATCCGTCGTCAGGCAAAAATTACAAATAGAAACAGAAATAAAATAAAATGAATAAAATATGAAAATAATAATTACACATTATAAATATGTTAATGAAAAATAAAACAAGAAACAAACTCTGAAGGAAGGCTCCAAGGGTATGTTTCTAGTCCTCTTGGAGGTCGCTCGTAGTATTTTTCTAGTCCTTCTGAACCTTTTCGTCCCCTTGAAGGTGGCTCCTGGCATGATTCTAGTCCAAGTATGTTTCTAGTCCACAGGTCGCTCTCTGTGGCAGCTTGTGCAAAAGAAGAGACGATTTACGACCAGAAAGCCGCATTCTCACAACACACTCTACCCGGAGGAGTTGCTTTCTCTCCAAGAGGCCAAACTCGGTTAGTCTGATGTAGCTTTTCCGTGGCTTAGCCCGGATCGCTGACTTCTTGAACCGAATCATGGGCTGGATACCCATATTCGGCAAGTTGTGGTATGTGTTCTGAGCTAGACTTCCCAAAAATCATGAAGCCTTTTTCTCCATTTCTCCCTTTTGGGGAAATATAATATTCTGCCTTTAAAAAAAAATATTTCCCAAAATATTTCACTCTTCTGGAGGTCGGGGCAGGGGGGGCTTCCCACACAGCCAAGATTATTTCTCCATGATGAGCATCCAAAACCTGGAGGCGTCTGGGCTGCGGATGTCACCATTTGAAAGGTTTAGCCTAAGCAGGGGGTTGGACTAGAAGACCTCCAAGGTCCCTTCCAACTCTGGTATTCTATTCTATATTCTATTCTATTCTCTCCTATATTTTCTCTTATTGTATATTCTATTCTATTCTCTCCTATTTTATTTTATTCTATTCTACTCTCTCCTATACTCTCTCCTATTCCTTATTCTATTCTAATTTTAATTCTAATTCCATTCCATTCTATATTCTAGTCTATTCTCTCCTATACTCTAGTCTATTCTATTCCTTATTCTATTATTTCTATAAAATTGACTGTTTCCTAGTATGATATGATTGCTTGTTGTACCCTATGACTATTATTAAGTGTTGTTCCTTATGATTCTTGACTCTTGACGAATGTATCTTTTCTTTTATGTATACTGAGAGTATTTGCACCAAGACAAATTCCTTGTGTGTCCAATCACACTTGGCCAATAAAGAATTCTATTCTATTCTATTCTATTCTATTCTATTCTATTCTATTCTATTCTATTCTATTCTATTCTATTCTATTCTATTCTCTCCTCTTCTCTTCTCTATAATTCCTATTCCTATTCTTCTGTTCTGTTCTGTTCTATTCTATTCTATTCCTATTGTATTCTGTTCTGTTCTTCTGTTCTTCTGTTCTTCCATTCTGTTCTGTTCTATTCTATTCTATTCTATTCTATTCTATTCCCATTCCATATATTCTATTTATTATATTCTGTTCTGTCCTGTTCCATTCCATATATTCTATTCTATTCTATTCTATTCTATTCTATTCTATTCTATTCCATGCTATTCCATTCTATTCTCTCCTATATTCTATTCTATTCTATTCTATTCTATTCTATTCCTTATTCTATTCTAATTCTAATTCTATTCTATTCCATTCTATATTCTATTCTATTGTCTCCTATTCTCCCCTATATTCTATTTATTCTATTCTATTCTACCGTATTCCATTCCATTCTATTCTCTCCTACTCTCTCCTATTCTATATTCTATTCTGTATTCTATTCTATTCTCTCCTATATTCTATTCTATTCTATTCTATTCTATTC